GAGAGAGAGAGAGAGGGAGAGAAAGAGAGAGAGAAAAAGAGAGAGAAAGAGAGAGAGAGAGAAAAAGAGAGAGGGAGAGAGAGAAAAAGAGAGAGGAGAGAAAGAGAGAGAAAAAGAGAGAGGGAGAGAGAGAGAGAGAAGAAATTAAGCCACCAGAGGGGTCCCTGTCTGGGAGGCATGGTCTCTGGCACGGCTGCCCCCTTGCCCCTTGTGCTGGTCCAGGCCCAACCAGATCACCCCGGGGGCCCAGCCTGCCTTCTCTGTATTTTTTTAGCAACTTTTCTGTGCTGTTCCCTCCCAAGTTCCCACGGCTTCCCCCTCGGTTCCCTTGCCAGTGGAGCCAGAGAGAAGCCAGTTGCCCTTGGCATGAGTATCGCTCTGGGCCTTCAGAGTGGAATTCGGGGTGCCCCGATTGCATCTACTAGAACCCCTTGAGCCACATTCAGCTGAAAAAGCACAAGGACGGGTCCTGGATGCTCTCCAAGTTGGTTGTTTTCTGGAAGACGTTTCATGACCCAGCTAGGTAACATCATCAATGCTAGAAGGGAGGAGGGGGGTTGCCCCTTTAACTCTGAACACTTCTAGCACTGAAGCTGTTACCTAGCTGGGCTAGGAAACGTCTGCATTTTATTGCGTAAGGGCAGGTAGTCCCCAACTTGCAGCCATTCGGTTCGTGACCGTTCAAAGTTACGACGGCACTGAAAAAGGGACCCATGAACGTTCCGCAGACTTACGACCGTGGCAGCATCCCCAGGGTCACGTGATCAAAATTCGGACGCTGGGGCCACTGGCTCGCATTTACGACGGTGGCAGCGTCCCCAGGGTCACGAGCTTCTGATAAGCAAAAGTCAGCGGGATTCGCTTAACCACCGTGCCACTGACTGAACAAACTGCAGTGATTCACTTAACAATCGCCGCAAGAAAGGTCGTAAGACGAGGCAAAATGACTCTCTTGTTTAGCGGTGGAAATCTTGGGCTCCGTTTTGGTCGTTAAGTCGAGGACTACCTGTGTTGTCAACTTTTTTTTCTTCCCCAAAATGAAAAGCACTGAAAACGTGGCTGAACAGCAGCGGATCTTAAGGAGGCCCGGACGGCGCTCGGTCTCTGGACTCAGGAGGCCTTGTGGCTTGTCTGTCTCCCGACGAGGCCGTGCACACCCCAATGAGCTCCCTGGGGGATGGGGGGTCCCTTCCCACCCACCTCGTCCCCCCAGCCCCCACCCCAATCCTGTGGGCTTCTCCGGCCACAGAGGAGCCTTCGCCACTGGCGCCGGCAAGGAGATAAAACGCCGTGGCCGGGAATTATTTTGAACCGCCTGCCGTGCCAGGGTGGCAAAGACAGGACCACTTCAGAGGGCTTCTGATGATGGCAGCCTGGCCACCTCCCAGCTCCAAAATTATGGGGGTTTGGCCTCCGTTCTTCCTCTCTCTCGGTCTTTCGGCCGGTTGTGTAGCCCCCGAGAGCCACGCCAGGCAAACAGACCACCACAAACTCAAGGGAAAAAGAAATCTTGTCCCTTCAGGGTCCCAAAGGGGTGGGAGGGGGGAAGGGGGGGAGCAGCCTGCCAAGCTTCTGCAGACTCCAGCGTCACCTACCCCCACTCCACCACATGGGACTCGTAGTCCCAATATTCGCGAGGCCTCTGGGTGTTGACGTCCGTGTAGACTCTTGCTCGGCTCGGTACCGGGCCCGACATGGCTGTCCCAGGGTGGCGATCAGCACCGCGGTCGCTCTGGAAGAAGCAAGCAGGTCAGTCAGCTGCACGGAAAAAAAAGGCAGGACGAGGTTGGCCCTCCCCTAAAAGAGAAAAGGGACCCCGGGGGTCGCTAGCTCCAGAAGAGGCTTGACTTACAAGGCAAGCACTAAAAGGGTGTTTCTGCCATCTGAGCAAGTTTAACAGGTGTGGACTTCAACTCCCAGAATTCCCCAGCCAGCATGCGCTGGCTGGGGAATTCTGGGAGTTGAAGTCCACACCTGTTAAACTTGCTCAGATGGCAGAAACACTGCACCAGAAGCCCAGGGGAACCACAGGAGGCACCCATCAGCATCTCTTCCTTCTGGGGCCTGGGGCTTCCTGCAAAAGCTCAACTAAAACAGGAGGAACCGGCCTTTCCGGAGAACAGAGGCAACTGCTCGGAGGTCCGAGAAAGACAAAACTCTGTATTCTGTATTCTCTAAAAGTTCAGAAGAGAAGGACGAGGGGGGACACGATAGCAGCGTTCCAGTATCTCAGGGGCTGCCCCAAAGAAGAGGGAGTCAAGCTATTCTCCAAAGCGCCTGAAGGCAGGAAAAGAAGCAAGGGATGGAAACTCATCAAGGAGAGAAGCAACCTGGAATTAAAGAGAAACTTCCTGACAGTGAGAACAATTAACCAGTGGAACAACCTGCCTCCAGAAGTGGTGAATGCTCCAACACTGGAAGTTTTTAAGAAGAGACTGGACAGCCATTTGTCTGAAATGGTATAGGGTTTCCTGCCTGAGCAGGGGGTTGGACTAGATGACCTTCAAGGTCCCTTGCAACTTTACTATTATTATTATATTACTACTACTACTACTACTACTACTACTACTACTACTACTACAATTGAAGGAATTGGGAATGTCTAGACCAGGGGTGGGGAACTTTGGCTCAGGAATTCTCGGAGTTGAAGTCCACAAGTCATAAAAGAGCCAAGGTTCCCCACCCCTGGTCCAGACTAATGAAGAGAAGGACGAGGGGGGACAGGATAGCCGTGTTCCAGTATATCAGGGGCTGCCCCAAAGAAGAGGGAGTCAAGCTATTCTCCAAAGCGCCTGAAGGTAGGACAAGAAGCAACGGGTGGAAACCAATCAAGGAGAGAAACAACCTAGAACTAAGGAGAAACTTCCTGACAGTGAGAACAATTAACCAGGGGAACCGCTTGCCACCAAAAGCAGTGAATGCTCCAACGCTGGAAGTTTTTAAGAAGAGATTTGGACAGCCATTTGTATGAAATGGTATAGGGCAGTGATGGCGAACCTTTTAGAGACTGAGTGCCCCCAAACCAGCCCGCCCCCACTCTGCCCGCCTACCCCTGCCCTGCTCTGCCCTCATCCCGCCTGCCCTCAGGGCCATCCACGGCCTGCCGCAGATTGCCCAGGTGGCCCTGCAGCATCATGGTGGCCACGTCCTCTGCCCGTGCCCTGCAGCAGCATCTGCCGCCTGGCTGTAATGTGCTTGGCGCGGGACACAACGGGGGGGTGACTCTCCTCTGGGGGGGCTGCTGGTGAGGAGGGGGCTGCGGGGGGAGGCGGGGCTGGGGCGACGGTGTGTATGCGTGCCCACAGAGAGGGCTGCAAGTGCCACCTTTGGCACCCGTGCCATAGGTTCGCCACCCCTGGTATAGGGTCTCCTGCTGGAGCAAGGGGTTGGACTAGAAGACCTCCAAGGTCCCTTCCAACTCTGTTATTCTGTTAAGATCCAGCAGCAACCCTCCCTCCCTATGCAGCCGCAGCACCTGGCCCCCTTCCCAAGAGGCCCGCAGGGACGCTGGCTGATCCGAACAGCCTCCCCCTAGTATCACATGCAGGCTCTCTCCACCCGGAGGCCAATTAAGCCAAGAAGAGAAGCTCCTTTGTGGCTGGGGGGGGTGTGGAGCAGTGGTGCTGAGGAGCCCTTGCAGAACCAGTTCACCCAGCACGGAGGTTTCAGCAGCAGCCCCGGCTGCAACAAGGCCTCAGCGAGAGAACCAGCGTGCGTGCAACAATCCCCGGCCGGGGTCCATGGAGATTCCCAGGCCACGGCTGTCCCCCAAAGGTGCATTTTTCCAAAAGACAACCGGACTTATTTATGTAGTTGGTTAATGTTAGTTAGATTATGATTATTATATTTGTAACCCTGTATTCAGCTCTGGGAAGTTGGGGAGGGAGAGGGGGGGTTTAGGGTGGGTTGGTTTTGGGGTTTATATTGTAACTTTTATAAAACTTTTCAATAAAAAAAAAAAAAAGACAACCGGACTCCCTTGGTTTTTTTCCTTTGAAAATGTTTCACTTCGCTTTCAAAAATAATAATAATAATAATAATAATAATAATAATAATAATAATAATAATAATAATAATAATAA